CACTCTAGAAAGTGAAGCTGACAGTGAGCTTCTAGCATTTATTTCCTTCTTTGTGCTGCCTAAGAGGCAGTCACTATTCAGATCCACAAAACCAGACTTCAGAGAAAGCTTAGGTCAGTAATGCCTGGAAACACCCAAACAACAAACAAATAGCCCCAAAGAATGTCCTACTCGACAATTCCAAGGATATAATTAATTGTTTCTATCTGTTTCCCTCTGTCCCTTCCCCTTCAGGCTGAGATATCTACTTTCTGCTTCCTTACATCCTAGAAAAAAGCAAGAAAAGTATAACCATTGTGTTTTAAATTTTAGTACTTGCTCGCCTTCAGAGCTGACAAGGACACTCACCTTGTTTGGACTTTTAAGCTTCAATAAAATTTCAGTGTAGTAATTAAGTGACATGCTTTTTAAATAAATTGTTCAGTATTTTTCAGCTGATCATAACACACTGGTTTTCTCAAGTTCTCATGGAAACCAAGGGTTTTGCCTCCTGGTACAATAAAGGTTCAAACCTTTGGGGCTTCTCTCTAACTTACTCATTAACCTTACATGAGTAATTGTTTCACTGAAATATGTACAATGATGACTTTCTAATTCTATCATTCCTTCCATATTTATTGGTTCATAGTCTCCTCATCAAACAGGGTTATGAAGCTACTCTGAAATAAAGTTGACAAAGGTACAGCAGGCGAAAAGATTAATTCTTTTTCATTTCCAATTGCCAGAGTAAGGGACTGGTACCCTAGTTACCACCAAATGTCATCTATGAAAAACAAAACAAACAAAAAAGGGGGTGGAGGGAGGTTTCTTTAGGATTTATTTTATTTTTGACCTCTGCACACACACAAACACATGTATATGAAGACAAACACACACACACACCAGAAGTAGCTCTCAGAATCAACTGACTTTTTCTAACAAGAGTAGTAGCATTCTATTTAGTAACAAATATTTTAGTTACTCACTTAATAAATGCTGGCGGCATGTCTCTCTTCAAAATCTGATCCTCGGTGGTCTGAACTGTCTCTTTTCCAACCTACAAGAGGAAGGTATGAGTCAAGTATTAAGTTCTGGGACTATCAGTAACTTTTACTTAAGCAGTCTCAAACATACTTTAAGACACAATGAGTCCAGTATGGTAGCATACGCCTGCAATCCTATCACTCAAGTTTGAGACCAGCCTGGATAGACAGTACCAGTCAAAACAACAACACCACAACAAAAATCCTCCATAATCTACTCTCAAAAGAAAATTTTTGTATTTTCAATTATTAAGATCAATCAAACCAGGCATGGTGGCACACAGCTGTAACCCCAATATGTAGGAGATTAAAAAAGAAGGCCCAAGAATTCAGGGTCATTCTTATTTACATAGCATGAGAACTTGTCTCAAAAGGGGAAGAAAGGATAACATGTTTTCACAATATAATTATAAAACAATATGAAGTTCAAGCACAGCTCTAGAGTAACTTTGGGCATGACTGAAAATAGTGAGAAAATAAAGAAACCTGTTGAAAATACACATGCATATGCTACACTACACTGAAAAACATCTCTAAAAGGCCACATGAAGTATACAACTTGAGCAGACTAAAATGAATATACAAAATATTTTGCACAGAAATACATATGGAGGGAGGAGAGGCTGGAAGAAATATCTGATGAAATTCTGACTTTGATACTAGAAATCAACCAAGAAAACATGCAACTTTAATAGCAACACACATATGTATATATGTGTATGTATGTATAGAAATATATATAAACCTGAAAATAACATGCATTTACATAGTTTAAGAACAACTTGAAAAGAAATAACATATACTTTTGAATGCCAACAGTGTAATAGACAGCTCCACATTCTGCGAGCAGCAATATAAACTTACACATTCTCTTTTGGCATTTGCTTCTATATCTTAGGAAACATAAAAATTGTCACAACTAAGAACTCCAAACTGAGAAACTAGGCCTTACAAGCAGTATCACCAAATGTGAGTATTACAACATTCACAAAAGTATTCACTACGATGTTACTCTTAACAGCCAACATTCTTTTAAAATGACTTACTAAAATAACTAGCAGAAACAGTTAAGAAAAGTAAGGTCATCCTAATTTGGAGAAAGGCCAGTATGATTATAGAGACTCGGAGCTGTAGGAAAACATTTCACTTAGAAGAACCATCATCTCAGCAGTCAGGAAGCAAAGGCAAGAGTTGACCAGCGTACAGCCTGGTCTACAGAGTGAGCTCCAGGCCACTCTAAAATCACAAACAGATCTGCAGCTATAGCTCGGTGCTAAAGCACTGGGCTGGCACATACAAGGCTTTGGGTTCAAGTCCCAGCTCAGAAAAGAAGGAATTATATCTTTTTAAATACAATATGCTCAGTAACAAAGGTAAACCACATTACAGCACAGAAATGTGAAACTTTGTAAGCCCTTGTTAAGGAGCATCTTCATCCTACTTAGTCATTTAACTTCTGATTTGAGTTTAAAGAAAAAAGTGAAGCCGGGTGATAGTAGCACGTGCTTTTAATCCCAGCATTTGGGAGGCAGAGGCAAGCAGATCTCTGTGAGTTCAAGGCCAGTTTGGCCTACAGAGTGGGTTCCAAGACAGCCAGGGATACACAGAGAAACCCTGTCTAGAAAAAAAAAAAAAAAGCTGAAAAAAAGTGAGCAAGAAAAATCCCTAAATATACAATAAATTAGCTAAAAAAAAAAAAAGCTACAATAAACTATTCTTAGGAAACACAAGTCATGCATAAATTACTGAAGACAGGTTTTTTTTTTCTATCAAGTCAATAGCTGAGAAAAAGCATCACACAGTACTGTGTAAGAGCCAGCGCTTCTATAGACAATAGACTGTCTGTAGCATAGTAAAAGCCTTTCAAATCAGCAGCTGGCTTAAGAGTTTCTCAGATCAAATATGACAGAACATTTCCAGTGTCTGTTCACTATGCTTGCAGCTGAAAGCAACCATTCAAAAAGCTATGGGCCATGATTTCATGAAGTAAAAGACAAAGTTCAGGCATGAAGTCACCAGTTCATATTAAGTATAATGGGCTTAGAATATTCACAGTTAAGACACATGGAGAACACACGGGGAGCAGGGGGACAGAGAAACAGAAAACAGGAGGAGGGAGGAAAATGGAACATTCCTCTCAAATCTCCATTAGAAAAGTGAGGGTTATTCAGAGTTACTGAGCCAAATGTTAGATACTGACTGCTCCAGGTACTGAAGATCAAGCAGACAGTAAGTTTCCTGGCACTATGGAACTCATATACTAGTTGAATTAGACAGACAGTCACAGTAAATATGCTGTGAATGTGGCTCAGTTGGTAGAGTGCCTGTCTCACATGCCGGAAACCCTGGGTTTGATCAACACTGCATAACTCAGGAGTGGTAGGATACTCTGGAGGCAGATAAACCTGGCGCACAGATATACATACATAGGCAAAATGCTCACGCACATAAAATAAAAAATTTAAAACTAAATAAAAGCAGACAAAACAGTCTATAATGAAGAAACAACACTAGAGCTGAGACTTTGAAGCTAATCTCATCCTGAAGATCTGGGCCTAGTGGCCATGCTACTCGGGAGACCAGAGTAGGAAGACTGTAAGTTCTAGGCCACCCTGCTTACCTTACTGAGACCCTGTGTCAAAAGCATAAACCTATTCCATCTAATCCCCATCTTGTTTGTTCTGTTGTGTTTTCATGTATAAAACATGGGAACTGTTTTCATGGTCACAGGGAGACTGGAGGAAACATATTCCCTGTCATCTCTTGCTTGGTAATTTCTTTTTTTTTTCCTTTATTTTTTTAAAGGAAAACAAACTATCTTTTTTTCATTATACATACCAATCCAAGTTCCCACTCCCTCCCCTCCTCCCATTCCCTCTACATACCCTCCTATCCCACCCCCATCCAATAATCCAATCCTCAGAGAGCATGAGGCACATTGCTTTGTGGAAGGTAAAAGGCCCTCCCTACTACATCTAGGCTGAGCAAGGTATCCCTTAAAATAGAACAGGTTCCCAAAAAGCCAGTATATGCAGTAGAGATAAATCCTGGTGCCACTGCCAGTGGCCCCTCAGTCTGCCCCAGCCATGCAACTGTTAACCACTATCAGAGGGACTAGTTTGGTCCTATGCTTGTTCCTTCCCAGTCCAGCTGGAGTTTATGAGCTCCCATTAGCTCAGGTAAACTGTTTCAGTGGGTAAACCCCTCATGGTCTTGACCTCTTTGTTCTTACTCTCATTCCTCCTACTCTTCAACTGGACTTTGGGAGCTCAGTCCAGTGCTCCGGTATGGGTCTCTGCCTCTGTTTCCATCAGTTGCTGGATGAAGGTTCTATGGTGATATTTAAGATAGTCATCAGTCTGACTACAGAGCAAGTCAAGATCAGGCCCCCTCTCCTCTATTGCTTAGGGTCATCCTATTGCTGGGGTCATCTTTGTGGATTCCTGGGAATTTCTCTAGAGCCAGGTTTCTTGCTAGCCCCATAATGGCTCCCTCAATCAAGATATCTCTTTCCTTGTTCTCATCTTTGTCCTTGCTCCTTCTCAACTATCCCATTCCCTCAAGTTCTCCTCACCCCTCCCCTTTTTCCCTTCTCTTCCCCTTCTACCCTCCGTTCTTCCTCTATCCCCATGCTCCCAATTTTGTCAGGCGATCTTATCTGTTTTGACTTTCCAGGTGAATCTATATATGTTTTTCTTAGGGTTCACCTTGCTTCTCTAGGATCATGAACTCTAAGCTCAATATCCTTTGTTTATAGCTAGTATCCACTTATGAATGAGTACATACCATAGTCATTTTTTTGGGTCTGTGTTACCTCACTCAGGATAGTGTTTTCTAATTCCATCAATTTGCATGCAAAATTCAAGATGTCATTGTTTTTTTACAGCTGAGTAGTACTCTAATGTGAACTTCTGAAGGGATCACCATCCCTGACATCAAGCTCTATTACAGAGCTATATCAATGAAAACAGCTTGGTACTGGCATAAAAACAGGGAGGTTGACCAATGGAATCAAATTGAAGACTCGGATATATTAATCCACACATCTATGAACACCTGATTTTTGACAAAGAAGCTAAAATTATACAATGGAAAAAAAGAAAGCATCTTCAACAAATGGTGCCGGCATGTCAATATGTAGAAGAATGAAAATAGATCCATATCTATCCCCATGCACAAAACTCAAGTCCAAATGGATTAAAGACCTCAATATTAATCTGACCACACTGAACCTGACAGAAGAGAAAGTGGGAAGTAACCAATGCATGGGTACTGGTGACCACTTTCTATATATAACAACAGTAACAAAGACACCGAGAGTAACAATAAATAAATCGGACCTCCTGAAACTGAGAAGCTTCTGTAAAGTAAAGGACACGGTCAATAAAACAAAATGACAGCCTACTGAATGGGAAAAGGTCTTCACCAATCCCACATCTGACAAAGGACTGATCTCCAAAATATATAAAGAACTCAAGAAATTAGACATCAAAATTCTAAATAACCCAATTAAAAAATGGGGTACAGAACTAAACAGAGAATTTTGAACAGAAGAATCTCAAATGGCCAAAGGATACTTAAAGAAATGTTCAATATCCTTAGCCATCGGGGAAACGCAAATCAAAATATCTCTGAGATACCATCTTACACCTGTCAGAATGGTGAAGATCAAAAACACCAATGATAGCTTATCCTGGAGAGGATGAGGAGTAAGCGGAACACTCATCCATTGCAAAGTATAACCACTTTGGAAGTCAGTATGGCAGTTTCTCAGAAAATTGGGAATCAACCTACCTCAAGATCCAGCAATACCACTGTTGGGCATATACCCAAAATATGCTCAATCATACTACAAAGGCATTTCTTCAACTATGTTCATAGGAGCATTATTTGTAATAGCCAGAACCTGGAAACAACCTAGATGCTCCTCAACCGAAGAATGGATAAAGAAAATTGCTTGGTGATTTCGAATCTCAAAGTTTTGTCTTTGATTAGCCTAGAAAGGCTTTATCAG